TTTGCCATAGTTATGCATGTGGGGGTCATTTTGGCACCCAAAGGAGAGCCCTTAAGGTTTTAGAGAGTGGTTTCTATTGGCCTACATTGTTTAAGGATGCTAGAACATTTTGTATAACTTGTGATAGATGCCAAAGAACAGGTACAATAGGTGCCAAGGACCAAATGCCGCAAACCCCCATCTTTCATGTGGAGATCTTTGATGTATAGGGTATGGATTTCATGGGACCCTGATAGGAGCATATTTATGCGACTTAGTTAGCTTGTTCTTGTGCATTTGTGTTGTTATTTCTTAGTTAATTATGTATTTTAAGCTATTTTTGTGTGTTTGTAGGTTCAAATAACAAAGTTGGCAACAAAGTGCTATTTGGAGCACTTTGGAGCATTTTTCGGCCAAGATTGGATAGTGCAAGCATGGAGACATGAGGATGGACGTTTTTGAAGATTAGAAGGCTAGAAATCAGCATGTGTGTGTGTAAGTGTGTTGACCTACAACTACAAACACTCATCCATTACTGATGCAATGAAAGTTAAGCACTCAAATTAAACCCTCTTGTTGTCAAATTGTAGTAATAATGCAAGTAGGGATCGTTCTAAACGGGGGATTATGAGGGCTTGCTAAAACCTCTAAACTAACTTAAAAACATAAAAACAAAGTTAAAAACGTTTGAATAGACTTAAAGGACTCAAAACAGATTCACAAGACTCAAAACAACTTAAAAACACTCAAAACTGCCTAAAAACACAAACTAGGCAGTTTCTGACTCTACCACAACTTTGGACGAAATTTGGGTTTTGACTTGACTCAAAACACTCTAAAACACGAACAAAATAGATTTTAAACACTTTGAAAAAAGAAAGTAAAAGGGGGATTTTAGTTTTGATGAATGATGTGAAAATTAACTTAACACACAAATTAAACCCTATTTGTGACAATTGTAGTAATGATGTAAGTAGGGATCGTTCTAACCGGGGATTAACTAGGGGTGCTAATCTAATACAAATCGACTTAGAAACACAAAAACTAAACTTAAAGACTCTAATTAGACTACTAAGATTCAAAACAGATTTGAAACACTCAAATCTGCCCAAAACTGACTAAAACAAATTAATTGACTCAAACAGCAACTAAGACAAGATTTGGACGAATTTGACAAACTTATGACTCAAAATACTTAAAAACACCAAAGAGGACAGATTATGAAGACTCAAACTTAACAAAATATGGGGGAATTGTGTTTGGACGAATTTGAACTAAATGCACAGATTGTAAATTAAAACAGATTGTGAACTAAATGTGATGAATCAATGGGTGATGGAATGGCTAAGGGGTTCTTCTCCACACATGAAATTTATGCAACGTAATCGATTTCCAGTTATCAATTCATTAAGTTATGAACCTCGACACTCCAAGTTAATTAGGTCCGCTTAAATTAACTTTCAGATTTCCCTAGAATCATTGAATTGGATGAATATGCATCGCAAACAAATTATTCCTAACAAGTTCTCTATATGAACAGCATGATAAAGATACAAGTTAGAATCATTAAGTTCTTTGGAAATCATAAGCATCGACAAGGCAATTGTAACTATGAAAAGCATGATACTCCTGCCATGAATCTACTTAACACGATCGTGACTAGCGATCTTCACTACTTGCGAATATAAATTCATAACGATTAGGTGTAAACAAACTTATATTCTAGCACCAAATTCCAGCATGCAAATCAAGCGTGCACTCTCAATCAACATACAAGAATAAGTTTTGAATTAAACGGTTAAGCAAATTGTATTCACGACTTATGCAACGATAACTGGAAGTAATCAACTTATTTCACATAAATAAACATGGTTTTGAATACACCCTTAGCCAAAACGAATTTAGCCAATCATACTCAATGAAAAACAAAGATTACAAGAAGTAGACATTGAAATATAAGATAGAATACACCTAAAATTGTTCAACAACTCAGATTGAAGAGCCAAACAATTTTCATGAACTGTCTCCTTCTCTTCTCCTTGCGGCAGATTGGGGGAGGATGATTTCTGGGGGGTTTTTGTGATGTAGAATGGATTATGGATGGTGTAGGGGCACGGCAAGGCTTGGGGTAGTGTATGGGTGTTGTGTGGAAGGTGTGGAGATGAAGAATGGTGGTGGAAATCGGCAGAGATGGAGGAGGACTGGTTTCTGAGGTTGTGGATGGGTTTTGACGAATTTGGGAGAGTGTGTGGCTGAATGGAGATGTTTGTGGCTGCACAAACATGTTTATTTAAAGGGATTAGGAAATTAAAAACCCTAGACTAATTAGGTAATCAGGAATTAAGTTTAAAGCTTCTAGAATTAAGGAAACAAATCAGAAAAATTAAAGGAAATAGCAAGGGAAATTCGGCTAGGGTTAAAAACACAAAAGGAAAGTGTTTTAAAGCCTAGAATCAGGAAATAAGAAAGAGGAAATACCAAGGGGGGTGCGGCAAGGGTTCAAAAGGTGCAAGAAATGTGTATTTGATGTCCTAGAATGCTTAGGAAGTCTTCATAATTGCTGGAACTTTTAGGGACAATTAGGAAAAATCAAAACCAAAGTAGGAAACCTTGGCTTAACTTTCCTACTTCAAGTAGGAATCCTTGTTGGAGGAGGAATCCTTGTTCTTCTAGGAATCCTCATGTGATTAGGAATCCATCTTCAATTAGGAATCCTTCGTTGATTAGGAATCCTTCGTCGATTAGGAATCCTCCTTCATGTAAGCACTTTCCTACTTCAACTAGGAAACCTTGTTCAAGTAGGAATCATCATCTTCAAGTCTTCAAATTCGTCCAAACCTTGGCTCCAATTATGTGATAATCATTCCAAGCCCATTTTTGCTCCAAAAAGCTCCAAAATGCATCTTCTTGCATCCTTTGGCCTTAAAACCTGAAAACACATAAAACTAGCTTAAAAGACTACTTTAACTAAGAAAACACCATGGAAAAGCATAAGAACTAGCCAATTAAGGCGCATAAATATGCTCCTATCAAATTCCCCCACACTTAGCTTTTGCTAGTCCTCGAGCAAAACAAACAAAAGAAAGGAAACAAAACGAAACAAACTAACCAAAACAAAACCTAAACCTTCCAACATTTGCTTAGGGATTTCCAATGCACATGACGTATTAAAGATTGTTATCCCCACAGATTTTAGTTCTCTTTACTCGTAAGCACATACTTAATTAAAGCCACTACTTACTAGTTCACAAGTAATCAATTAAAACAATGCTTTGAATGTAGTAACATGCCTTAGAGAATTCCCTCAATTCCTTACAAGATATACACTCTATTTTCACTCAGACTTTCTAACTCCACACCCTACACTAGTCATATGTGAGAAGATTGATGTAGATATGAAAACGAATGCTCACATATGTGTTTCACAAAGAATGCAATTTCTAGAGTTAAGAAGCATGTTTAGATATGATCTCATGAATGGAATGCTACTACTTAGATGCGAGAACCAGTGACACCATATGCTCATACCAAATTCAAACTCCACAAATTGAAACGCACAACACTCAAGATTGAAGTTAAGGGTTGTAACGGGGCTAGGGGTGATTGGCTAACAACGAAAGGTAAGGAAAACAAACGTTCTTAAAGCATAATAAGCAAAGTAATGAAATCTAGACTTAGAATCACTTATGATTGCAGAAACTCACTTAGACACACAGGGGAAGATTCATACAACTCTCAGGGCCATATTCAACGTTTTGGATCCTTTCTTCAACTACCACAAGGGGAACTTATTTTCACTTATTTCATACCTCTTTTTTTTTCTTTCTTTCCACAACTTTTTCTTTTCTTTTTCCACGAAATTTTTTTTTTTTTTTTTCTTTTTTTTTTCACTCATGCGTTATTTCTTTTCTTGGCATATCAACACACACATACAAATTCCCCCACACTTGTTTTCTGCCATACATTAATCAAAAGGGATTCAATTTGAATCATGCTTTACTATGCTTCAAGAACAAGGGTATGGATGGTCCTAATCTAGGCTAGGTAGGTGTAATGTGGGTTAACAAAGACAATGGCTAAACAAGGCTCAACGGGGTTAAACCTAAACATATAATGGAGTAGGGCACACGGCTTTTTGGCTAAGGTGGTGGTCACTACACAACTTTATCTTGAATATGTGTTATGCAAATCAATAACATGCTTTGAATGAAATGGGCATGAGTTCTAGCATTTGGAACTAAATGATGAAACGCCTTTTAAGTAGCAACCAATCAAGGAATAATGAGATCATGCAACGACTTAGAAAACAAAGAATGCACAGAATTTAGCTCTCCAAATAAACGTTTAGGCTCAAGTCTCACAAGGTTGTAGCGTTAGTTTGAGTTCCTTCCTTCAAGCATGTTACAAAAACTGATTTTTTTCTTTATGATTGCATGTGAATTCATAAGTTATAACCATAACTAAGCATAAACATAGAGTAAATCAAACTTTCATCCATGTTAATCACTCTCTTTAACAGCCATGTAATTACAAACCGAATCCTCATCATTGTGTTGGAAGGTACCCTAAGACACAAACAAACACACAAAAACAACTATTTTTGGGTTCTTAAAACAAATTTTTCAAATTTTTATGTGATTTTCGGATTTTTATGTTAACACACATTAAAACACACCAAAACTGCTTAAAAACACTTAAAAACAGCAAGGAACAAGTCTCCAAGTTAAGGGTGATAAAATCCCACGAATTTGCATCTAAAACACTTAGTTACCCCCCCACACTTAAATCAAACATTGTCCTCAATGTTTCAAGCATAAAACAACACTAAACAAAAAGAAACACACAAACAGCAAGTAAATAACAAAACTGGGCAGATTAGAAACAAGCAACAAAGTGAAGGGTTTTAGGAACGCAAATCTGGAATTGGAGTGATTCCTAGGGCTTCCTTTGTTGAATTGCATGGGTTGCCTCCCAAGTAGCGCTTTCTTTTACGTTTTGCAGCCGGACGAAGAAGAACATGATCAATCTTCATGGGAACCCACGGCATAGTGGGTTGTCTCCTCCACATCATGTTCGACAAAGCTCTCGTAGTAAGGCTTCAAGCGATGCCCATTCACCTTGAACTCTTGACCTGTTTTGAAACTACGAACTTGGACTGCACCATGAGGAAAAAACATCAGTAATAACAAAGGGTCCAATCCAACGTGAACGTAACTTACCCGGAAATAGACGAAGACGAGAATTAAACAACAACACTTTTTGTCCAACAACAAAGGACTTGGTGCGGATCATCTTATCATGAAAGGCCTTGGTCTTTTCCTTGTAAAGGCGAGCATTCTCATAAGCTTCATTCCGTATCTCCTCAAGTTCGTTCAATTGGAGCTTACGATGAATTCCCGCCTCATCTACATCCATGTTGAACTTCCTCACGGCCCAATGAGCTTTGTGCTCCAACTCCACAGGTAGGTGACACGGTTTGCCATAAACAAGCCGAAATGGGGACATGCCTATGGGTGTTTTGTAAGCTGTCCTATAAGCCCACAATGCATCCTCTAACCTCAAGCTCCAATCTTTTCTTGTTGGCCCAACCGTCTTCTCAAGAATCTGTTTTATCTCCCGATTCGACACCTCGGCTTGCCCACTTGTTTGAGGATGATAGGGTGTCGAAACCCTATGTGTAACATTATACTTCTTGAGCAGCGCCTCGATGGTGCGATTACAAAAATGTGAACCACCATCACTTATGAGGACTCGGGGCATCCCAAACCTAGCAAAAATGTTAGACTTCACAAAAATCTGCCACAACTTTGGAATCGTTAGTACGGGTGGCTTTTGCTTCCACCCATTTGGAAACATAATCCACCGCCAACAAGATATAGAGAAACCCATGTGATGACGGAAAAGGACCCATAAAATCAATGCCCCACACATCAAATATTTCAACAGAAAGTATAGGGTTTTGTGGCATTTGATCCTTAGCACTTATATTACCCATTCGTTGACAACGATCACATGTAAGGCAAAATGTCCTAGCATCCCTAAAAATGGTTGGCCAATAAAAACCCACATTCTAAGACTTTAAGGGCAGTGCGTTTGGGTGCCAAAATGTCCCCCACATGCATATGAATGACAGAATGTTAAAATAGATTGAAACTCAGATTCATTCACACAACGTCGTACAATCTGATCGGGACAAAATTTCCAAAGGTATGGATCATCCCAAACATAAAACCTAGCATCCTTTTTAAGCTTATCACGTTGATTCCTATTAACTGTGCTAGGGATATGTTTAGACACCAAAAAGTTCACTAAATCTGCATACCAAGGCTCACTTACCTGGACCGACAGTAGTTGCTCATCGGGGAAGGTTTCAGAAATTGGCGATGCTTCCTCATGCACCATTCGACTTAGGTGGTCAGCCACCACATTCTCCACGCCCTTCTTATCTCGAATCTCGATGTCAAACTCTTGTAGAAGCAACATCCATCGGATTAACCTAGGCTTGGCCTCCTTTTTCGTGAGCAAAATACTTGAGGGCTGCATGATCAGTAAAAATAATAACTTTAGTACCAAGTAAATATGATCGGAACTTATCTAATGCAAATACCAAAGCAAGTAATTCTTTTTCAGTGGTTGAGTAATTTAATTGAGCATCATTTAATGTCCTAGATGCATAATAAATAACATGAGGTTGTTTGTTCTTTCGCTGCCCCAAAACAGCACCAATGGCATAATCCGAAGCATCACACATCAACTCGAATGGAAGGCTCCAATCTGGAGGTGTGATAATGGGAGCCGAAGTGAGAGCTTCCTTCAAGTGCTTGAAGGCCGTGGAACATGCATCATCAAACTCGAACACCACCTCTTTTTGGAGCAATCGGCATAGTGGCTGTGCAATCTTGGAGAAATCCTTTATGAAACGCCTATAAAAACCTGCATGACCAAGAAACGAACGAACCTCTCTAACCGAAGTTGGAGAGAGGGTAAGTGACGAACAAGGTCTACTTTAGATTTATCCACTTCAATGCCTTTTTCAGAAATAATATGTCCTAGAACAATACCTTGCTTAACCATGAAGTGACATTTTTTCCCAATTAAGCACAAGATTCGTTTCAACACAACGCTTCAAAATTAAGGTCAGATTATGCAAGCAATGATCGAATGAATTACCAAACACGCTAAAATCATCCATGAATATCTCAATAATCTTCTCCACATAATCAGAAAATATACTTACCATGCAACGTTGAAATGTCGCAGGGGCATTGCACAAACCAAATGGCATGCGCCTATATGCAAAGGTGCCAAATGGGCACGTGAAAGTTGTCTTTTCCTGGTCCTCCGGAGCTATCACAATTTGGTTATATCCAGAATATCCATCAAGAAAGCAATAAAATTGATAACCGGCTAACCTTTCTAACATTTGGTCCAAGAATGGCAAAGGAAAATGATCCTTCCTTGTCATGGCATTTAACTTCCTGTAATCAATACAAACACGCCAACCGGTCACAACACGAGTGGGTACAAGCTCTTGTTCTTCATTCTTCACCACCGTGACTCCGGACTTCTTTGGAACAACCTGCACAGGTGACACCCAACGACTATCAGAAATAGGATATATAACACCACAATCAAGCAATTTTATAACCTCATTTTTGACTACTTCCAACATAGGTGGATTAAGGCGACGTTGAGCCTCCCGAGATGGCTTGGCTCCCTCCTCCAAAAGGATGCGATGCATGCACGTGGTGGGACTAATGCCTTTAATATCCGCCAAGGTCCATCCAATGGCAGGTTTGTGCTCCTTTAACACCCTTATCAACTTGTCTTCTTCTTGGGCCGTGAGTGAGCTAGATATGATGACGGGGAGTGTCTCATCTTCTCCCAAGAAAACGTACTTCAAATGACTAGGTAAGGGCTTTAACTCAAGTGTAGGTGGCTGCACAATTGATGGAAGCAACTTGTTAGTCAAAACCGAATCTAGAATTGAGAGTGGAGACTTACCAAAGTGTGAGGGCAATGACTCGAGGGCAGCAACCATCTCAATCACTTCACCACAAGGGGGCATGGCAACATGGTCAGATTGCATGCCGTGGGTTGCTTGGCTTCCCCCACACCCCATTCTTGCTCCTATGCCGTGCACTAGGGCTACCTCAAGTGCATCTTCATTCATTTGATCCAAATGCACCTGCGCCAAAGAATCAACAATATCAATAGCAAAACAAGAATGGTCCTCAATTGGATATTTAATGGTTTCAGAAAGATTAAAGTTAATAATGTCCCCATCAAACTCCATGGTCAAAGTTCCTTTAAACACATCTATCTTTGTCCTTGCTGTTTTCATGAATGGACGGCCTAACAAGATTGGCAATGATGGAGCATGGCTCGAATCCTCCATTTCCAAAACATAGAAATCTGCAGGAAAGATAAGGTGATTGACCTGCACTAAAACATCCTCAAGGACTCCCTTGGGATAAGCGTTAGAACGATCGGCCAATTGAATTATAACGCCATCTTGTTTTAACTCACCAAGATTCATAGATGCATAAATGGAATATGGCATAACATTAATAGAAGCACCTAGATCTAACATGCATTGTTCAAATCTAGTGTTTCCAATGATACATGGGATAGTAAAGCTCCCCGGATCCTTACACTTTGGAGGCAACTTTCGTTGCAAAACCGCGGATACATTTTCGCTTACTTTCACAACTTCTTTGTTTGAAATTCTTTTCCTAGTTGTGCATAACTCTTTCAAAAACTTTGCATACCTGGGTACTTGCTTAATGGCATCAAGTAAAGGAATGTTTACTTGGACTTTCCGAAAGGTATCCAAAATGTCTTTTTCGCTCTCTTCCTTCTTTGATTGTGTAAATCTGCGAGGGAAAGGAACATTGGGTAGATTAGTGTTTGAATTCACAACATTTGGAACAACATTACCTGAGGTGGACGGATGGGAGGGCTTATGTGGCTGCGGCATAGGTGGTACCACCCTTGCCGTGGGGTGTGATGGCTCCTCCTTATTTTGGGCAGATTCATGTGCTTTGCTTCCTACTTCTTTTCCACTTCTTAGGGTGATAGCTTTTGCAGATTCGAACCCACCCTTAGGATTGACTACCGTAGTGCTTGGTAACTTACCATTCTCACGAATTTGCCCCAAAAATTCTGCCATTTGGCCCATTTGCTTCTTGAGCTCATTAACTTCCTTTGCTTGGGTCTGCAATCCCTGCGCCATTGTGGTCAGTAATTGATAAGTTTTATCATCATTCATAGAAGTACCTGAGTTGTTTTGTGATGATTGTGCTTGAGGAGGTGGTTGTGGTGCCATTGGCCTTGGAAAGAAACCCGGAGGTTGTCGGAATCCACCTTGTTGGGCAGGTTGTTGTGCATCTCTCCATCTGAAATTTGGGTGGTCACGCCATCCTTGATTGTATGTATTAGAGAAAGGATCACCCCTTGGTTGGTTTTGATTCCCATAACCCACGGCATGGGCAGATTCCCACCCTCCATTTTCAATTAATTGAGGGCATTGATCCGATTGGTGTCCTCGAATGGAGCATACACCACAGATTGTAGTTCCTTGCGTTTTGGGGCCTTCAACAAACTGCGATAACATAGAAGTAAGGTTAGCCATTTGGGATTGTAACTCAGAAATAGAACTTACCTCATTTACATGATGTGACCGTGGGGTATCTCTCTGCCCAACACCTTCATATTGTTGTGCGTTGTGTGCTCGGTTCGCAATGAGAGTCTTGGCAGCCACCGGAGTCATGTCCACCAATGCACCACCCGCCGAGGCATCTAGCATTTGGCGTTCCATGGGAAGGAGTCCTTCGTAGAAGTATTGAAGGAGCAACTCCTCCTTCATTTGATGCTGTGGACAAGAAGCAACAAGAGTTTTAAAACGTTCATAATATGTTGGAAATGACTCACCTTGGCTTTGTTGGATGCCACTAATGCGTTTCCTCAAAAGAATGACTCTTGAGGTTGGAAAGAATTTTTCCAAAAACGCTCGTTTCATGCTCTCCCACGAGGTAACCGTCCCCGGGGCCAATTCATATAACCAATCTTTAGCTTTATCCATTAGAGAGAATGGAAAAGCTTTCATCTTCAAAATGTTGCCATCAACATTTACCGGCGTCATGCTTGAACAAACAACTTCAAACTCCTTCAAGTGTTTGTTTGGGTCTTCCATGGACAGCCCATGGTACTTTGGAACATGATGTAACAAGCTCGACTTCAATTCGAACTCTTCGGTTTTCCCTTGGGCTGCCGCGGGGTATTGGATGCAAAGAGGGGCTGCATTATCCAAACCCGAGGCAGAAAGCTCCTTAATGGTTCGGTTGTCCGCTGCCATCTCTTGGTTCTCCTCTACAACTCTAGCCGTGGGCTCTTCTTCCTCTTCAAATTCGTTTTCTTCGCAATGAGGTTCCGGGCTAGGTGGATTGGATGCTTGTTGCCTTCTTGTTCTTCTCAAAGTTCGCTCAAAATCGTCGTCGAACTCCAAAATGTTTGCTTGGACAGATTTGGAACTTCGAGTCATACACTTGTACCTAAAACAAGAAAACAAGAAACCAAGTCAGAAACTGAATTTAAAACAAACAAAAATAACACAAAAATAAATAACGAGGGATTAGCAACTTTGCTAATCCCCGGCAACGGCGCCAAAAATTTGATGTGAAAATTAACTTAACACACAAATTAAACCCTATTTGTGACAATTGTAGTAATGATGTAAGTAGGGATCGTTCTAACCGGGGATTAACTAGGGGTGCTAATCTAATACAAATCGATTAGAAACACAAAAACTAAACTTAAAGACTCTAATTAGACTACTAAGATTCAAAACAGATTTGAAACACTCAAATCTGCCCAAAACTGACTAAAACAAATTAATTGACTCAAACAGCAACTAAGACAAGATTTGGACGAATTTGACAAAACTTATGACTCAAAATACTTAAAAAACACCAAAGAGGACAGATTATGAAGACTCAAACTTAACAAAATATGGGGGAATTGTGTTTGGACGAATTTGAACTAAATGCACAGATTGTAAATTAAAACAGATTGTGAACTAAATGTGATGAATCAATGGGTGATGGAATGGCTAAAGGGTTCTTCTCCACACATGAAATTTATGCAACGTAATCGATTTCCAGTTATCAATTCATTAAGTTATGAACCTCGACACTCCAAGTTAATTAGGTCCGCTTAAATTAACTTTCAGATTTCCCTAGAATCATTGAATTGGATGAATATGCATCGCAAACAAATTATTCCTAACAAGTTCTCTATATGAACAGCATGATAAAGATACAAGTTAGAATCATTAAGTTCTTTGGAAATCATAAGCATCGACAAGGCAATTGTAACTATGAAAAGCATGATACTCCTGCCATGAATCTACTTAACACGATCGTGACTAGCGATCTTCACTACTTGCGAATATAAATTCATAACGATTAGGTGTAACAAACTTATATTCTAGCACCAAATTCCAGCATGCAAATCAAGCGTGCACTCTCAATCAACATACAAGAATAAGTTTTGAATTAAACGGTTAAGCAAATTGTATTCACGACTTATGCAACGATAACTGGAAGTAATCAACTTATTTCACATAAATAAACATGGTTTTGAATACACCCTTAGCCAAAACGAATTTAGCCAATCATACTCAATGAAAAACAAAGATTACAAGAAGTAGACATTGAAATATAAGATAGAATACACCTAAAATTGTTCAACAACTCAGATTGAAGAGCCAAACAATTTTCATGAACTGTCTCCTTCTCTTCTCCTTGCGGCAGATTGGGGGAGGATGATTTCTGGGGGGTTTTTTGTGATGTAGAATGGATTATGGATGGTGTAGGGGCACGGCAAGGCTTGGGGGTAGTGTATGGGTGTTGTGTGGAAGGTGTGGAGATGAAGAATGGTGGTGGAAATCGGCAGAGATGGAGGAGGACTGGTTTCTGAGGTTGTGGATGGGTTTTGACGAATTTGGGAGAGTGTGTGGCTGAATGGAGATGTTTGTGGCTGCACAAACATGTTTATTTAAAGGGATTAGGAAATTAAAAACCCTAGACTAATTAGGTAATCAGGAATTAAGTTTAAAGCTTCTAGAATTAAGGAAACAAATCAGAAAATTAAAGGAAATAGCAAGGGAAATTCGGCTAGGGTTAAAAACACAAAAGGAAAGTGTTTTAAAGCCTAGAATCAGGAAATAAGAAAGAGGAAATACCAAGGGGGGTGCGGCAAGGGTTCAAAAGGTGCAAGAAATGTGTATTTGATGTCCTAGAATGCTTAGGAAGTCTTCATAATTGCTGGAACTTTTAGGGACAATTAGGAAAAATCAAACCAAAGTAGGAAACCTTGGCTTAACTTTCCTACTTCAAGTAGGAATCCTTGTTGGAGGAGGAATCCTTGTTCTTCTAGGAATCCTCATGTGATTAGGAATCCATCTTCAATTAGGAATCCTT